CCCCCCCCCCCCATTAAAATGGATTTTGAACAATTGATTGTAAGGCAATAGATGGAGTGCATACGCTGATGAAACAAAATTATCAGGTACTATGGAACAAACTATTGGTTGAATTTTGAAAAACAGTAGGTTTGGGTGTTTGTTTTTTTTGGGGGAGGTGAGCAGTGTTCAGCCGTTAGCGTTCCGTGATAATATCAGGTAATGGTGTACAAGCACTTAAAAGAAAAAGGTTTCTATTTCTAGTCTTTGAAATGACTCACTACTAAAGTAGAGCTGCAGCTACTGGAATTCCTACGGCACAGCGTAGCCACTGCAGGAGGTGTCTCCTTTTGTCCCAAGGGATAGGAAAATATCCTGTCTCTCCTACTGTGATTTCTATACGGCTCTGTACTTTGAGGGAGTATGATGGGTGATTCCCCTCTTAAATAACCCCCAGCACAAAGCGCTAAGTATGCTTCGGGTACCGGGGGCTGAGGGGTGTCCAGCAGTGAAGTGTGTGCAATGCAGGAATGACTTCCAAGATGCGCCTCCTGTCCCTTGCCTTTTTTTTGTCATTCCAAGAGAACGGTCGTTGAGTAGCAAATACAAATGTTTTCGAGTATATTTAATTTCACAAACTTAATCTACAGTTTGTGGGGTCTTTTTTTTCTGTTGGGTTGGTGTTTAGTGCCCCAAGTGTGTGACCTTTACTGGGGGCCAGATGAAGTGGGCTTACTGCTTAAAATTCCACTTCAGATTTACCACTGACGTTCGGTTAGACCTGATGCAGGGAAGCACGCGCTTAAAGTGCAACATACACACAGGCTCGCTGATACGAGCTGGATTTTAGCTTTTAAGGATGCGATCCTTAAGAAATTCCATGGGTGATCCTTCATCACCTCTGCCTAGTTTTGCTGGTTTTTAGACGATCGTTCCATTACACGCTATTGTTAATTGCCAGTTTCTAAGAGCTGTGTATGCTCTTTGGCGGTGGTTCTCCGAAAAGATCTTAGGGTCCAAGGGTTTGATCTTATGACTTCTTTTGGGTTCTTCCCTAATCAAAGGGGGGAAGAAACCCCAATCAACACATTTGATGTGTTGGGTCTTTTCCTCACTTAATCCGTATGAATTTACGGAGTGGTGGGTGCATCTTATACTTGCTTAATCTCTACAAATTTTTAACCTGTAGCTGAGCGGTGGCTGAATGGCTGCAGATGAAATGACCGCAGTCAGGTTACTGAAACCGCTGCTCAACAATCTTGACTAAAATGGTTTGCATTGCCGATTAACACAAGCTATTATATTGGCTATAAAAAAAAAAAGAGGATAAAACAGCGAAGAGACGCTGTACACCCGAGGCCCTTCGGTCTGAAGGTGAAGAAGGGCGAAACGGGTGGCGAAGCTTCCAGTGCGTTACAGGTTAGTGACTGCAGCAACTGTCCGCTCTAATGGTGGTCAGAACACTTTAGACTGAATGCGTTTCCTTGAAAATCTGCCATTTTCACTAGCTGTCTGGATTCAGAAGGAAGCTTTTGAAGTCCAGGATGCTCTGGTCTCGATGAAGGGCAGGGAAAAATCTCTCAGCCACGATTCTCTTGACCTCCCTTTATTTTATGGAAGCAAAACTTGATTATGTCTGTGCGTAGTTGCTGTCTAAAGGGTTTTAGCATCTGGTCGGTCCTCTGCTCGTCATACTTGTCCTGCGGCTGAGAACATCTCGTCTCGGTGTCCTATGCTTTGAGTCTTAATTGCCGCAGCCTAAGAGGAAGAAAGAATGGCTGCAAGTTTTACAGGCTACACGACATGTATCCATCAAAGACTCTTCTTTTTCTTATCACGTAGTTAATAGTCTCTGGCAGCCTATAGGTCGTTTTACCGTTTGCCCGGTTGGCTAAAGCTGGGGTTTCGTTTTGTTTTCAAAGGGCTTTTTTCACAGCAGGAGTGAGGGGAAAAACACGTTTGGACAATTTGATTATAAAATCCTACAGGGGGGAAAAAAGGTGACATAGAAACATGTTAAAACTAACTTGAAGAATTACATATTTGTAAACCGGCTAGATCATAAGTGCCTCGTGTTCTTTCCCTACTAGTAGGGGGTAAGCAGAGAGAGCGAATGGATGACAAACCTGTCCTGTGATAACTTTCAAGGTTTCAACACTTGGGTTTATTTTTATCTTGTTTTGACTTTTTGCTGTTAACTCAACACTAACCTAAGCTTGGTGGCGAAGGCAAGCGCTTGGGACCGTATTTACTGTTACCCCGTAAGGAGTTAAACTACACTGTCTCCACTTATTTCTCAAGAAGGAGAAATATATTTATATATATATGTGTGTATGTACGCACATTTATATATAAAAATATTTTGTGTGTGTATATATGGAGCAGCAAGAAGCGAAGGTAGCGCTTTATTCTCCTCTTGTTTTTTTTTTCCTTATCTCCTGTTTGTAAAGTCTGCTAGCAGACTTTATATACATAGTTTGCCCTTTTTGTTGCCATGAAGGGTATCTTACCAAATGGATCCGAAATCACCTTTCTCTTACACAAACAGAAACGTTTGTGTCTGCTGCTCTCATACGACCTAGTTTCTGGAAATCGCTGCGGTATTATATCTGCAGTGTGCCATCTGTGAGATGTATCCAAACAGTAATTGGTACTGTGCACAAAGTTACTGAATATTTATCAAAAATTCACTTGTATTAAAAAACCCCCAAACATTATTGTGGCAACTCTTCCGTTTTGAGGAGACGAAGGAGAGAAAGATGACTAATATGGAATGATGTAGTGGTATCGGTCCCCCTTCCGAGATCTCCTCGTGGGCCGGGTGATAACGCAGGAATTGATGCGCTGTCTTTTCTTTGTCACCTCAGCTCATCTTCATTCTTATCCCTGCCTACCCTGAGCATTTGATGTGGATGTTGGGATGGCTTCTAAATGCAGTGAAGTGAAGCTCATCTCAGCTGGTTTATGACTAGCAGGGACTATATGGAAGCCTCTATTTCGTGAAATACTCCTCGACGTATGAGAAGGATATGCAGAATTTAAAGTTATTGTGAAATACCCGACCTCTGCCGTCGAAGTTGTTAAATTGATACGCTGCAAACTATTTGGGGCATAACTATTCAAGATGTGTTTTTGATCGTAGGGTTGTGGTCGCTTCGGCAGAGAACTCTAAAATGAAACCTCAAAGAACTGGGAAAAATATTACAACTCAGGTCTTTGGGGAAAAGAGCAAAGACCTATTTGAAAATGACTTTAAATTGTTTCTGCTGAAAATTTAAAATTACTTCTGTAAAAACTGAATCCAGTGTTCAGATTAAATTGCTGTCTGTATTTGATCATTCCATGTAATTAGTGTCTAACGCTAGCAGCACCCGGTAGAAGGCGAGTGTGAAATTGTAAAATGTTTTTTGTTTTCTTTTACTTTAGTTGCTATTAGTTAGAAAAATGAAAAGCAAAACACGGCAACGCAGTGTTGGACGTTATGTGTGATAAACGGAATTTGCTTTTGCTGATTGAATTACTTTGCAAATAACAGTAACTTCTTAGGATTTCACAGCATAGTCCTATTGTTTATCTATATCCTGGTATTTCACGTCCGTGTGAATTTAATTCTAACGGGCATGTTGGTAATGACCACTGTAGCACAGAATATGCAAGCTCTCTTTTTTTTTTTTTTTTTACCCACACTCTTCATAGTCTGAAAAATTAATTGTTTTCTATGCTTATTTTCCCCACCCCGTACTTGGGTGCTTGTTACTTGCTTTTTGAACCATTCTATGACTACAAAATATGAGAATATCCTTAAATATCGGAGAAGCTTTAGCCTCTCCTGAGA